CTCCTAATCTGGGGGAGAGTGCATTAGCTGAGGCTTACTGCAAGTGTGGCTGTTGTGGTACTTGGCTCAGGCTGGCCTGCCTGCTTGGAGTCCTGGACAGCACTGGGCCCAGGCTGGGCTGCCTGATCAGCGTCTCTGATAGTTGGTGCTTAGGTAGCTCCAGACACCCAACACTGAAGTTAGATTACTAGGAATACCTCACATCTGTGCCCCGCTTCCTATATTTACTTCCTATAAAATACAGAATCAAGTTCAAGATTTGGGTCCTTATTTTCAAGGGGCTTCATGATTTGGGACCAGAATATTTAAAAGACTGCCTAATTCTCCAGAATATTTAAAAGACTGCCTAAATCTCCAGGATGAAGACCACAAATTGCAACATACACACACACTTTTGTTGAATTTATAGATATCAATACATTCAACAAAACACTCCTCTCAATTTCTTAACCCTGGTAAGAACTTGAACAAACATTTGTCACTTTTCTCAGTGCAGAACTGGAAGTGGCTCTAATATTACAGAGATAAGTGTGGTATAAAAGCTCACAAAAAGTACAACAGAGATGCATGGAGTTTCCATTTTACTGCTTCTGTCCTCATCTTAAGAGAGGACTGAGAAGGGCCATGCCATCACCACTCCAACATCATGGCATTATGGTAGATTCCATGCAGCAATACACCCAGGTTCCAGAATTGAATTAGTTAGCCCTGTGGCACTGATAATACTGTTTTGTAGAACCATTTGATTTTTCAAACTAAACAGGGCTAATATTTTTTTCCTAGATAAAGTAAAAAAGTTAAAAAAGTCATATTAGCTTGAAAATAGAGAGCAATAATAAAAAAGGAGTTAAGGGAAGATGCATATTCAGTTTTCACTCTGAATTATTCAGAACTTAAACTAGCCTATCACCGCACCAGTTTTACCTTTTGTGAGTTTTACCTTTTTAGTTCTTTGCTTCTTCAGGTTTTTGTTCTTTGGCTATTTGCTGCCCATTTCTTGTAACCTTCTTTCCTTTAGATGCAGAATATCAACCTGTGCCTCAGCTGTTGTACAGACACTGCTGACAATGATAAACAGTACAATAACAGCTGCTCAGTCTGGGATTGCAAGAATCACTCAGGCTGGTTACATCTTCAGTATTCCTCAAACCACAGTTTCAACAGAGTAAAATTCTGGCCAACTTGAGAAGGGACAACACTGCTTTTCAGTAAGCTGGTAGGGGGAGCAGGCTGACTGACAGACAGTATTGATACTCATAGAAGTAGGGATACTTTCAAAAGACATACCATGGTGGTTCAGTCTGCAATGACTACATTCAAATATCTGAGCCTATTGTAATCCATCAAATGACAGACTGAAGAGTTTAACACTCTGCCAGTACAAACATTCACAAACTTCCAGCCCAGACAGAGGTGTTGTCAATACACTGCATGCAGTGTATATTGGGCAGGAGCAGAAGAGTACAAGTAGCTTTACCAGAAAAGACTATTTGTCCATGTAGTCTAATAACCTTCTTTTGGCTGTGGCCTCCTCCCTGTTGTTTCAATGATGGAGGGGACCAAATAAATGCTAACCAACACTGTCCCCGCATGACAGATATGATCCAATGGTTGATGATTAACTTATGAGACCTGCAAATGATCTGCTTAAGTCTTTATACATGATGGTTTGTGTCTTCTGACAAGCTTGGGCCTGCATTTTAACTTACTGTGGATTTTTATGTTTTATTCACCTCATAGGACCAGGGTAGGTCCTATGAGGAAAGGTTGCGGGACCTGAACCT